CATCCCCCGGGTCTCCCACCCCCTGGCCGCACTCATTCTTGCCCTCATGTGACATTCTGGTCCACTGACAGCTCAGCTACAGGATCCTAGTTCTAACAGGAAGTGGCCCAAGTCCCCGGGTCAGGTTCAAGGCCTATAACCAGGCCCATGGGTGGGCATGGAGGGCACAGAACTGCCTCTGCTCCTCTGGCTCTGCCTTGGCCAGGTTTGTGCCACTACGACAGAGTGCCCGAGACTGGGTAATTTCTTACGAAAAGAAATTTATTGGCTCACGGTTCTGGAGGCCAGGAAGAGCAAGATCAAGGTACCAGCATCTGGCAAGGGCCTTCTTGAACTGTGTCATCCCATGGCAGAAGGCAGAAGGGTAAAGGGGAAGAGAGAGAGAACAGAGGGGGGTGAACTTGGCCTTTATAAGAAGCCACAGTAAGAAACCTACTCTGCCACAGTGAGAGTGGGGCCCTGTGAGCCAGACCCTCCATTAGGCCCCACCTGGCCACTGCCCTGTCTGATTCTCCCACTTGACCTAGAGTTCCTCAAGGTCAGGGACAGAGCTATGCCATGGTGAGTCCAGTACCTGCATAGAGTAGTGGTGAGAGCAACTGATGTTTATTGAGCACCTACTGTATACCAGACACTGTGTCAGATGCTTTACATCCTATTTTACATGTAAGGAAACTGAGTCTTTGAGAAGCAGAATCAAGAGAGCTCCTAAGGGGGAGAGCATGATTCTAAGCAGTATTTATGACCTTGATTTCAGAGCCAAGGTCGCTGCTCCAAAAGAGCCCTTGCTGCTCTGACTCTGCTCACAGATGCTTCTAGAAGCTTTAAGTGCATTATGTCACCAACTTCTCACATCAGTCCTGCTTTCTAAGAACTGTGTTTACCTTCACCCTGTATTTGAGGAAACTGAGGCACAGAGAGGTTAAGTGGTGTACCAAGGCCACACAGCCAGGCAGTGACAGGTTGGGATTTGAACTCAGCTCCCCCAGCTCCAGAGCCCCTTTTATGAGGGGGGCGGGGCTGAGGGAGGGGCCAGTGGTGGATGTGGGTCTGTTTCCCGATCTCAGTAACCCCTGTGTGACCCCACACATGCCCACTTGGCCCCCTGCATGGTTGAGTCACCCTCAAGGTGAATCACCTCCCAGGGAACCTGGAAGTCCTTCCGTCCAGCCCCCACAGGCTCCCCAGCTCCAGACAAAGGGGCCTTTGGGGTGCTAAGCCCGGGTGATCTCCCTGGCGCCAGGGCTGTGCTAATCCTCTCAGGATGGCCAGGGCCAGCCCAGGGGACAGATCAGCTGATGGCCACCAGGGACTGGCAGGTCTCAGGGCCGAGGGTGACGGAGCCTTGGTGACTGACACGCCCTTTGTGCCCACACTGCCCTCTGCTGTTTGCAGTGCCACTTGGTCCCTGTGCCCGGAGGTGGGGAGAGGCCCCTCTGCGTTTTACTTTGGTTTAGAAGGTGAAATGTTTGTTCAGCAAGCCGTTTCGTCACGCCAAGTGCCCTGCAATAGGGAGCCAGGGGACATTAAACGAGGAGCCCCGGGTCAGAGGACTCAGAGAGCATGGTGGCCGCGAGGTGCCCGCCCCTCTCCTGTTTCACGGGTGGGCACGGGTGCAGAGAAGGACAGTCAGCCGTGCGGGTGATGCTCAGGGCAGGTGGGGCCGAACTGACTCCTCTGCAGAAGCGGCTGCTTCCACGGCGGAGCTGAGAGGGGCTACAGTTCACTGCGGCTTCAGGAACATTCTAGAAGTTTCCTACCTAATCCTTGAAACCCTGCTAGAAAGGGTAGTACAGGTGGCGTGTGTGACTTTGGAGGTGCCTGTGCCCAGAACCCTTCTAGTGCCAGCAGGGACAGTAAGGCAGCCCTGCCCGGGCTTCCTCCTCATGCCCCGGAGCCTCCCCAGAGCCAGCAGGGACCCGGGTGGCCAGGACACAGCACCCACTGAGCCCCACCGCAGGCCAGGGCCTGCTCTCAGAGCTTTGCAGGACAGGACGGTCCCAGACACCATCTTATCACCTGAAGCGGAGAAGGGACGGCAGCAGGCACAGCAGCCCTCGATGTGCCCCCTGCCAATGGGGCAGCTGCGTGCCCGAGCGAGGCTGGCCCCAGGGACAGAGGAGGCTGGTGGTGACGTCAGCCCGGCTGGGCCCTCGGAGACCCTCCCTGGGAGCAGGAGCAAGTGGCCTGGGGAGGGCTGGCAGGAACACGAGACTCGGTGCCGCCTGAGGGCCAGCCTTGGCGGGGACAGAGAGCACTCTGTCCCTCAGAAGTGGCAGGTGGCAGGGGGCTGAGAAGAGGGAGCATCTGAAAACCCAGGGACAGGAGCTGGGCCGGAGTTGGGGGGTGGGACCCAGGGGGCCTCGGGGAACCCCCAGAGCAAGGGAGGGTGGGACACTTGTGTGGGAGGCCACACGTGGTCTGTCTGGAGAAAGGCCACCTCAGTGGGGGGCCCAGGGGACCCCGTGGCCCAGAGGAAAGGGAGCCACTGTGGGAAGCTTTGTGTAGCGGGTGACAACTTGACCAGTGGAATTTGAAGGAGGACGTCCCAGAGGGCAGGACTGCAGGGAGCCCGGGGGTGCCGCGAAGGGGACCGGGGGAGTGAGCGGGCGGCCGCGGGGACAGCCCTGGATGCCAAGGGAGGGCCTGGGCCGCGTCCCTGCAGATCCTGGAGGGGCAGTGGATGCCCCCGGGGCAACCGGGATTGACGGGACCAGGAAGCAGGGAGCTTTCTGGGGAGATGCTCTCTGTGGTGACAGGAGCGTGGGTGACACAGAGACATACAATCGTCAAAACTCTGCAAATGGCCGCTCAGGGTCTCTACATTTCACAGTCTGGGAACTTGACACAGAAGGGAAGACGTCGCGTGCGTGTGGATGTGATCAACCATGGGGCGAAGGCCGGTGTCCGCACCTGACCTTGAAATGCATAAAAAATAAAAGAGGGGCTGAAGGACGGGTGGACAGTATGACCAGGCACGCGACAGGGCAAACGGCAGCTGTGGCCAGCTGGTGTGGGCTGATGGGTACGCGGATCGCCCCCGAAAACTTCTTTCATTGGCTGTTTGCGTGATGATGTCATGATGACATATTTGGGGAAAAGTCTAGATCCTCGAAAACCTGCCTGTGCACGATCAGCCCTAAACCTGAGGAGCTGGGCCGTGTCCGTCTGCCTTGGTCCCCCAGCAGCCCGAGGAGCAGAGGCTGAGCAGGGTTGGATCCTGGGTCCCCTGGCGCTGAGTGTCGTCTGGGGCACCCAGCCTGCCCTCCATCCATCTGGAACGGGCAGAGCCCATCTGGGGCCTACCCCGGATTCCCAGAAACGGCCTAGACCAAGAGCGATCATGATAAAGCCTGGCTCATGTGACACCATCTGGGTCCGACAAGTCTTGGAATTAGCCACAAACCACAAGCCCTTGTGGTTTTGGGGCTAAATGCTCAATTTGCAGAGTTCCGGTCTCTCGTAATTCTGATCCCATGATTACACGGTGCGCCCCCCTCCGGGCCCAGAAGGCTGCTATATAAGGGCTGATCGTGGCCAGATTCCAAAGCAGAGGGCCTGGTGACCCGGACCCTCAGGACCGAGCTGCTGGGGCCTCCAGGGGTAAGGAGGACTCCCTTCCCTTTCCTGGGTCCAGGCCAGCAAGGGAGGCCAAGGCCTGGGAGGTGACCGGGAGACTGTCCCAGACTGGGGACATGTCAGGGTGAGCCCTCTCAGAGCTTGGGCATCTTGCCTGCAACCTCAAAAGTACCTACAAAAGGCCCGAGTCGGGCCAGGTGTCTGCGTGAGCAGGGCCCTGCTGGTCTTCCCCAGGGACGTTGACTTCCCGGGACATCTGTTACCTCCCTGACACTCCTCAGCTGCTGGTTGATGCTGGAAATTCCTGCCCTGGTGCCCATCTCTTTAACTGTGTCTGGACTAGAGCGCTCTCTGGGTTGGGGAGGTGAAGAACCACCTGAACATGTCAGCCCTTCACATTGTAGTGTAAATAAGCGTCTCCCACACTTTCCTGGGAGCAGATGGAAGGGGAAGCGTGGAGACTCCCTGGAATCCAGAAGAATGGAAACAAGGAAAAGAGGAGAGAGTAGACACGCGGAGGGACTGAAACTGACTATTTCAGTTTGGTTCGACTCTGCTCTCCGAGGCTGGCGAATGTGGCCTGGGAAGAGGGAGTGGGAGAGGCGGGCAGAGGGCGGCAACACGGAGGTCACCGGACGTCAGCCAGCTCACCCCAAAACACACGTGTGACCCCTCCAGGCTCAGAGCATTCCCGCCCAGGTCTGGTAGGATAGTCCCCAAACAAAGGCGCTGTGTACTAGACACAGCGTCCTGGCCACCAGCAAGCAGGCGCTCAAAGAGGTACAGACTTTTGCTCAAGGGTTTTAACCACGTGGAATAGAACTGAGTTCTCCAAGGAGGTTTAGGGGTGTTTGTTGGCTGCAGGAGGTTCAGAAGGTGGCCAAAGGGATGTGTGGGTGAGTGGATGGCCCCAAGGCAAGATGGATGGAAGGTTGGGTGGATGGGTGGATGGGTAGATAATGGGTGGCTGGCTGGGTGGGTGGCTGGGTGGGTGGAAGGAGATGGGTGAGTGGAGAGGTGGGTGGGTGGACAGATGGGTAAACCCTGGACACATGTCCCCAGAGCCTGTCTGCTACAGTTTCCTGTTTTTGTTGGCATTCCCATTGTCCCTCTGCCGGCAACTCAGTCTGTGGACACCATCTTGGGAGACAATCAGACGTCCCTTCTCTGGGATGGTTCAGTTCATGGCGCTGTTTTGTGTCACCAGACTCATTTCAGTTGGAAAAGTTGGAAGGTGGCGTGGGGGATTCTGGTCCTCTCTGCTACGTTAGCTTCCCCGGTCAGTTCCCCTGGCCTTGGGTCTCGGGTTGGATCCCAGTCTTGGCCGAGGGGGGTCTAATTCTGCCTGCTGGCCAGGGGGATGGCACGGCTGGGCCACCGTCACAGGGTGCACCCTCTCTCCAGGAGGAAGCTGTACCGGCATGTGGACAGCATGGTGTGTGGCTGCCCTGTTTGTGACTGCTGTGGGTGGCATCCGCCAGGAGACAAACACAGTCCTCAGGGTCACCAAAGACGTGCTGAGCAATGGTGAGTCCAGCCCAGGGGGACCGGGGTAGCCTTGATTGGGCAGGGTGGGCTCAGGTACCCAAGGACCCTCCCTGACTGGCAGATTCCACATCAAGTGGCCGGACAGTAGAGAGGTGGTCAGGGACCTGGGTTCTGGAGTCGGCCTTCCTGGGATTCCAATTCTGATTAAGTGACCTTGAATCCCTGACTTGAGTTCCCTGAGCCTCAGTGTCCTCGTCTGAAAAGTGGGCACAGGTGTCCGTATCTCCAAGGACTGAGAGGAGGACCTTTGACTTGACGTCCGGGTGCCCCTCTGTGAATCTGACCTTTTGGTGGGCCCCGAGGGTGGGACCTGTAATCCCTGCCTCCAGGGCTCAGGTCTTTACTTTGTCATCTGGCATATGAGGACACATTGCCTGTCCCAGCCCCGGGCGGTTGTGACAATAAAAATGAGATGATTTCCTCCGTGGTGCTTGGCCCTGACGGTTTCCCAGGAATGGATGGCGCACGAGGAGATGGACTTTTTAAAGCCGAGGAACACTTGGGAGGGAGGGTGACAAAGGGACCCCATCAGGGTTTGGCTGAAGGGTGTCAAAACCTAGGGGCCATGGGAGCCCCTGGGCTGCAGAGCTAGGGAGCAGGGTCATGGGGGGGTCGGGGACCCCTGGCTGACGCCCGGCCTCTCCGCAGCCATCTCCGGCACCCTGGAGCAGAGTGACGCTCTCCGCTCGGCCCTGAGGGAGGTGCCCATGGGTAAAGCCGGTGGTGACGGTGGCGGGCCTTTGCTGGGGGGGCTGCTTGGTGGAAGCGGAGGTGGAGGTGGTGGGGGAGGGGGCCTCCTGGGGGGCCTGCTTGGTGGTGGGGGCGGAGGAGACAGCGGTGACCTGTTGGGTGGAGGTCTATTGGGTGGCAGTGGAAGCAGTGGTGGGGGGCTGCTGGGGGGCAGTGGTGGGGGGCTGCTGGGTGGTGGTGGCGGGAGCCATGGTGGGGGGCTGCTGGGGGGCAGTGGTGGGGGGCTGCTGGGCGGTGGTGGCGGGAACCATGGTGGGGGGCTGCTGGGGGGCAGTGGCGGGGGCCTGCTGGGCGGTAGTGGTGGCCTCTTGGGTGGTGGCCGTCACCGTTACGATGACTACAGAAGCGCTGAATTCCCCCGAGGTGTCGGTGGTGTCCCTTACAATGACTTCCATGTCCGAGAGCCTCCCCCCAAGTACACCAATGGCAGACAGCTTGGTGGCAATTACAAATACGGGCACATTGACACCAACGACAACACTGCCCAGCTGGGGGGCAAGTACCGCTACGGAGAGATCCTGGAGCCCGACGGCAGCATCCGAGACCTCCGCAGCGGCGACGATCGCGGCAGATACCGTTCGGTGGAAGGTGCAGCCATCGGGGACAACCGGCATCACCGTCACCGGCGAGAGCTGCGGCCTGGGGAGATCCCAGCTGGGGTGGCCACCGGGGCCCTGGGCCCTGGGGGCCTGCTGGGCTCGGGGGGCATGCTGGCCAACGAAGGCATCCTGTCGGGCCAAGGAGGCCTGCTGGGCGGAGGCGGTCTCCTCGGTGACGGAGGACTTCTTGGAGGAGGCGGCGTCCTGGGTGTGCTCGGCGAGGGCGGGATTCTCAGCACCGTGCAAGGCATCACCGGGTGAGGACAGGGGGCCCTCCCTGCGGCCCCCGGGAGCCTGCACCCAAGGGCTGGGGCGGGGGTGCCTGGTCTCCAGGACATGGCCTTAGGGCTGGACGTCTTAAGGGTCCCAAGTCACATGGTTTGGGGGCTTGGTGTAGAAGAGCCCAGAGCCTGGACCCCGCTCCACCGGGGTCTGCCTGTGTCCTGTTGAGTCTCCTTTCCTGTCCCCGAGGCTCAGTTTCCTCATCTGTGGGAAGGTCACGGAAATGAAGCCAGGAGGATGGGCCCAAGGGTTCCCGACCAGCAGCCCGTGTCTGGTCCGTCTCATCCCCCACGATTTCATCCAGCCCAGAGCCACTCAGTTCAACAGCACGCAGGGCTCCTCGCAGCTGAGGGACTCCGGGTTGACGCTGGGACCACACCCAGTGGTTAGCCATGAATGACATCCCCGTCTCCAGGGAGCCTGCGGCGGGTGGAGGGGGTAGCAGCTTGGATAAAGCAGCCTGGAGACTGTGATCCAGTTATGAGCGGCCTCCTCCGGGAGGTCAGGGGAGGCTTCCTGGAGGAGGAGGACCTTGGCCCAAGGCTGGAGAATGGACAGGAGGGAACCAGGCAGGGGGTGGGGACACGCAGAAGGGATGGCATCTTGGTGTGGAAAACGTTCGCGGGAAGTTCCTGGAGACACCCACAGTGGGCTGGCCCAGGGCTGGGGGCGAGGCGTCCCCGGCCTTGACATCTCTGCGAGCTGCACATTCTGCCCCTGGACCCCAGGTCTCCTTCCAGTCGGGGGGATGGATGGGGAGCAAAGAAGGGGTGTGGGGGGCAGCCTCTCACCAGCCCTGCCCCCACAGGCTGCGCATTGTGGAGCTGACCCTCCCGCGGGTGTCCGTGAGGCTGCTGCCCGGGGTGGGCGTCTACCTGAGCCTGTACACCCGCGTGGCCATCAACGGGAAGAGGTGTGTGCCCTGGGCCCTGGGGGTCCCTGCTGGGCGGGTGGGCCAGGGGCTGCCCTCGCTCCACCTGGTCTCTGTATCCATAACACCGGGACCAGGGAGCCCCAGTTTGGGACTGAGTCACCCCGTGGTCTTGCCAGCAGTGAGGATGGCCCAGCGCCATGGTTGAGGCCGGGAGGTTGGGGGTGGGGGCAGCCTGGGCTCCATCCCTACTCCTACAAGCTGCGTGATCTTGGAGGGGTCTCTTGATGTCACTGAGCCTTAGTGTCAGCACCCACACTGGAAGAGTAAGCTCACCTCCCTTTCCCGGGGGCAGCAGGTGCCTGCCACAAAGTAGGTGCTCAGTGGGGGACTTGAGAAGCAGACTTTGCATTCATTATCCCTGAGATGAGGGATAATGAGATGAGGTCGTGCCTGCAGCTGGGTGATTGGTTACCTTGGAAACCAGAATATATACGGACCCTCCTTCCCAGCCTCTGGAGCTTTCTTAGGCTGAAGGGGAGGGATCAGGGACACCTCCTGATTTGAGCAAGGGACAGGGTGAGCAAGGGACATGGCAGATGACAGGAAGGGCCAGGGCCGAGGGCAGCGGGGAGAGGCTCCGCAGGCTGTGAGAGGTGCGCCCCCTGGTGGCCGGGGTGTGACTCCCGGTGTCCTTGGTCGGCTCCAGTCTCATTGGATTCCTGGACATCGCAGTGGAGGTGAACATCACGGCCAAGGTCCGGCTGACCATGGACCGCACAGGCTATCCGCGGCTGGTCATCGAGCGCTGTGACACCCTGCTGGGGGGCATCAAAGTCAAGCTACTGCGGGGGTGAGTACCAGCGGGCGCCTCGTGCCCGGGGGGTGCTACAGCCATCTCTGGCAAATAAACGGCGCCACTCACCTGCGCATGTCCCTGGAGGGGACAGTGATGTCACAGAGCAGTGACAAGTCACACTGGACCATCCACCCTCTGCTCAGTGTATCCCAGGTCGGGGAGTGAGGGTTTTGCAGTTTTATTTTTTTCCGATTTTACCTTCTCCACAAACTGTCCAAGAGCCCACTCTGCCCAGAGGTCTTCAGGCGCCTGTATTGGCCAGCACGTGTCCCCAGGTGGAGGTCCTGGACGGGAGCGTACTCAGGACGGCTGGATGCCAGCTCCCTCCCCTTTACCCCCGTCCACACGGTGGGAGCGCCCGCTCCAGCCTGTCTCGGGGGTCTCGGGGCTCTCTGTCCCCCTTCTCCCCGTCTTACCAACCCCTGGCCACGCGCCCCTGCCTCCATCTCATCTGGACTTCAGGGTCGGAGACAGTCACTGAGCCACTTGAGCCCCACGTCCTGGCTCACGGGGGCCTCTCTGAGCCTCTGTTTCTGCTTCAGGGGGAATCAGGTGCTGGGGTCCAGAACATAGGAACCTCGGGGACTTTTAAATTCACATTTTACCATCATACATATTCTGTAATACACAGTTCAAAACTATAGAATGACAGAAAGGCGAGGAGTGACGAGGGTCCCTCCCATCCCACCTCCTCTGCCCTCCCACCCTGCTCACTACAGTTATTCGGTTCTTAATTTTCCTTCCAATTTCTTTGTTTAAATGAAGCAAACGTGTTCATGCATTCTTATCTGCCCCTGGTTTTAATGCTGATGGGTGCCTGCTGTAACCACCCCTCCCTCAGGAGGATATTCTGCATCCAGACACGGCACGTGTCCCTGCTGCTTCATTTTGCAGAGCTGTGTAATATTCCATGGTCTGGGTGAACCACCATCTATTTGCCCAGTCCCCTACGGCTGGGCATTTCAGTTTGTCCAACCTGCTGCTGTGACAATGAATTACCTTTTACAGATGTCATTTCACACGTGACCTGATGTATCTGTTAGGTAACTTCCCAGAGGAGAAAAGGGTCTGGGCCCCGAGTATACATAGATCAATGGCAAACTGTCCCCCGACATACACGCAGGCGCACAAGCCCTTGTGTGTACCTGCACGACTGTTCTCAAGGAGGACTGGAACCAGGCTTAGTCTCCTGAAGGTGGATCCACCTGAAGGGGTCCCAGGGTTAGCTTTCGGGGAACACTCTAATTAGGACTTTACCTCAAGAAATTCTTTGTCACCTCAGCTCGGTGCTGGACAGCAGCTCTGCCCTTGGGCACCCTTTGGTGTGAACCCCAGGAGCACAGTTTATTGGCTAGTATTTCTTCTTCTGTCCCTTCCACACACACTTACTGAGCCCCTGGAATGTTCTAGATCCTGCTGTGATAAAGCAGCGAGCTCCTTTGACCTCTGCTGTCAGCAGCCCCACAGAGGGCGTGGGAACCGGGGAAGGACTAGGAATCAGGAGCGGGCAGCAGGGCCAGGCCACCGGAGAGCGGGCAGCCTGTCTTGATGGGTGGACGGATGAATGCGCGGCCCCTGCTGGCGGGAGCCTGCTCCGGGTGGCCGCAGTCTCTTTTGCTGGCACAATTGTCCAGCCCAGGGGTCTCACTCCCCAGAGGCGCCCCAGGGCAGACAGTCCTGAGAGCCCCTCGGTCTGCGCCTGGCCTTGACCCTGCATCGTGTCCCCAGGCTTCTTCCCAACCTCGTGGACAACTTAGTGAACCGGGTCCTGGCCAACGTCCTCCCCGACTTGGTAAGAACGGGGTGGGAGGGCACGGGCACCTGCAGACCAGGGCCACAGTCCAGGGACACAGAGGTGACCCGGGGAGATGGAGGGAACCAGGAGCCGGGATGCGTTCTTGGGGGCCTGGGGAGGACACGAGGATCCTGGGGACAGATGAGGAGAGGGACAGGAGGGCGAGAGTTGGCACCACCCAGCCCTGGGCTCCCTGCGGCTCCAGCTCCTTCCGGCTGTGTGACGAGGCCGGTCACCTCCCTGGGTCTCCGAGGTGGCCATTCTGACCGAGCCTCCCCCTGGGGCAGGGGGAGGACAGCGCTGGGCGCAGAACAAGCCTTAGCCGTGGGCATGGGGGGCGGCTCCCTCCCCAGCTCCCTGATGTCACCAGAGCTCTGTGACGTCTCCCTGCAGCTCTGTCCCATCGTGGACGTGGTCCTGGGTCTCGTCAACGACCAGCTGGGGCTCGTGGACTGTGAGTTCCTTCCTCCCGGCTGCATTTGGCCGAGGCCTGCTAACGGCAGCTCAGGGCCCGACCCGGGGACATGCCACACCTGGGAGGAGGGCCTGTGACCTGGCCTTCCCTCTGTCCCGACATCCTGCTGGGGGGTTTGCTCACCTCTGCGCCTGGACCTGGAGCCTTGGCTGCGCCCCCAGGCCGCCCGTGACCCCCGCCTCTGCCTGCAGCTCTGGTCCCGCTGGGGATCCTGGGGAGCGTCCAGTACACCTTCTCCAGCCTGCCCCTGGTCACCGGGGAGTTCCTGGAACTCGACCTCAACGTGAGTGCTGGCTTGGCTCAGGGGAGGTGGCCTCCTGCCCGGAGGTGGGGGTGAAAGGAGGGGCCCCTGGGCTCCCACTGGGTGCTTGGGGAGCGACGTCTGAATGGGACCATTTTCCAATTAGATGGGGACCTCCTAGAAGCCCTGTTAGGATTGTAGTCACAGCCGGCCCGTCTCCAAAGCCTGCTGTGCAGCAGCCATGTTTTACATGCTGTGTGCAGATTCATCCAGTCTGTCCTCACAGCAGCCACAGGGACAAGGGGCCCGCTGGGAACACACAGGCACAGAGAGGTTAAGCCAGTGGTTCAGGGCCACACAGCTAATAACGTGGACCAGGGGCCCGAGTCAGGCCACCTCCCTGATGGTGGAGCTGCACCCAGGAGCCTGGGCTTGACACCCTGACAGTGAAGGCTGTAGGCATTTACCAAGGGCTCCCCGTGATTAAAAAAAGTCCGATTGGCAGCCTTCGCTGATTTCCAAGGCACAAACACTCCCCCCAGAGCCAACTTCAAGCTACCCACAGGACATCACTGAAAGGGAAGTTGGAAGACATGTGACACTCTACAGTGAGCTGTGTCACCACATGGCCCCAGCCTGGCCCTACTTGCGCACAGGCACACAGACTTACGTGGGTCCCCTGAGACCACAGACCTGGAGGCCTCCTCACTCCCCCCAGCAGTTCAGAGCAGCAGGTGCACCCGGCTCCTGAGGCCCCAGGCACACCGCGCACACCTGAGGTGCGCTAAAACACACCCATTCCAGAGACATTTGGTAGTTACCTGCTGTGTACCAAGGACCCGGTACAGCAGTGAACAAGACAGACAAAGTCCCTGCCCTGAGGGAACTTGTGATCTATTGTGATGTAGGAGGCTGAGGCAGGAGGATCACGAGTTTGAGGCCAGCTTCAGCAACTTAGTGAGATCCCCATCCCATCTCAAAATAAAATTTAAAAATAAAGGTTAGGGGTGTAGTTCCTGGTTCAGAGGCACTGGGTTCAAACCCCAGTACTAGAAAAAGAAAAGTGTGTGTGTGGAGGGGGGATTGAGAGAGAGAGAGAAATGGTCACTCAATAAATACACAATTATTAATCTAATGTTGTAATAGAGCCTAATGTGGGGCATGTGATGCATTCAGGGAGGTCCGGGAGGGCTTCCTGGAGGAGGTGGTCTTGAACTAAGATGACCGAGGCACACAAGGAAGAGTGCGGGGAGGTCCGCGGGAAGGCCCATTGCGGGTGGCGAATCCCCGGGGGCTGCAGTAGGAAGGTGAGGGCAGAGTGGCTGGAGGTGAGAGGCCGCGCACCACACCAAGTGCTGAGACCCAGGGCTCTGGTCCCGGGGGCTGCCCGCGCGGGTTCAGGGCCCGGCGGCCGCCCTCAGCCTCCCTCTTCTCCCTCCTCCCTGCCCTCTTCCCCGCTGCCCAGACTCTGGTGGGCGAGGCCGGCGGAGAGCTCATCGACTACCCGCTGGGGCGGCCGGCTGTGTCTCCCAGGCAGAGGATGCCCGAGTTGCCGCCCATGGGCGACAACACCAACTCGCAGCTGGCCATCTCTGCCAACTTCCTGGGCTCCGTGCTCACTCTGCTGCAGAAGCAGGGGGCGCTGGACGTCGACATCACCGACGGCATGGTGAGTGGCGCCCCCTAGGGGCGGGCTGAGACTGCGCCCTGGAGGGAGAACCGGACCGCCCACCTCTCTCGGCTCCACCCACCCGCTCGGCTCCACCCACCCGCTCGGCTCCACCTACCCACTTGGCTGCACCCACCTCACTCGGCTCTACCCACCTCTCTCGGCTCCACCCACCTGCTCGGCTCCACCCACCGCTCGGCTCCTCCCACCTCTCTCGGCTCCACCTACCCAGCTCGGCTCCACCCTCCTCGCCGTCCGCTTCCTTTCGTTCCCTGGGCTGAGCTCACAGACCAGACCCTGAGCAGCGCTGTGGCATCACGAGCCTGCGGAGTCTGTTTAATATTCTGTCCTGTCTAAAAGAGGCACCGTAGAGTCACACGTATGTCTCTCCACATAAACGTGTAGACTCCCTTGGCCAATGTTGGCACTTAGGGAACTAAGTTAGGTGGGGACAAAACACCACCTAGAGCGCGCTCCTTGATCATTTCCTGTCCAAACTTTCTCTTGAAAAATGTCAGACCTTAAGAAAAGTTTCAAGGTGGGACAATGTGTGCTCACATGACCTTCACCTGACCACCTGTCTGTCGTCTGTCCACTGTCCTGTTGACCTAGCCACTCACCCACCCATCATTCACCCAGCCGCCCACCCACCTATCCATCCATCCATCACCTGTCAGATACCTGTCCATCTGTCTGTCATCCACCCACCCATCCATCCCTCCATCCACAATCTGTCAGATATCTGTCCATCCATCCATCCACCCACCCTATCTGTTGAACAGTTGGGGCTTCATGAGGCCCCATGGGATTTGCTCCACAAACCACCTCCCTGTTCCAAGAACAGGTGTCTGCAAACAAAACAAGCAACAAGAAGCCCATACAAACGCTGGCACTGTTTGATTACACTTAGTGACCTATACCCTCTGCCCCTGCAGTTTAACTAGGAGAAAACAGACACTGGCTTCATGGTTGGCGTCTCTTTCTGTCAAGTGGTGCTGGCTGTACACTCTTTTTAGTATCTGAGGTCTTCAGAAGTGAGTTAAGCTGGGCACCATGGTGCACACCTGTAATTCCAGCCGCTCTGGAGGCCGAGGCAGGAGGATTGCGAGTTCAAAGCCAGCCTCAGCAATGGAGAGGCGCTAAGCAACTCAGTGAGACTCTGTCTCTAATAAAATACAAAATAGGGCTAGGGATGGGGCTCAGTAGTTGAGTGTCCCTGAGTTCAACCCCAGTACCTCCCCACAAAAGTGAGTTGGTTTAGGGAAGATCTGAAACCAATGGCAGTATCAGGGATACGGCAGAAGTCATGGGCCAGGGACCCAGACATTGCAAAGGGGCCCGACGGCGCTCCCCTTGCCTTAGCAAAGAGTCACACATCTGCAGAAGAAAGGTTCGGGCCTCGCCTTCGTTCTTCAGGTGGGGTCTGTGGTGAGCCTGGTCTACATAGTGGCCACTGCTGGACAGGCGGGGCTTCCCAAGGGGTCCTTTAGGGAAAGGAGATGGTTCTGGTCACCATGTTGGCAATGCCCATCTGTCCCTGTCACCTCGGGACTCACATGACCCTTTTCCTTGTCCTACAGTTTGAAGAGCTTCCTCCGCTCACCACGTCCACACTGGGAGCCCTGATTCCCAAGGTATGTAAGCCAGGAAGTCACCACTGTCCTCCACTGTCCCCCACCAGCCGTCCCAGGTACCGGTCTCTGGGGAGGATGCCCAGCACTGGGGCAGCTGCTCTGCCTGCCTTCCTGGACTGAGGGGCGAGGAGGCAGGAGGGGGAAGGAGCCTGAGCTCTGTCTGCGGACCAGCTGTTGAAGTTCTGGTCCTGGCCGTCCACTCCTTCACTGTGTGACCTTGATCAAAACTTGTAACCTCTCTGAGCTCCATTCCCTCATCTGTCAAAAATGCCCACTGACACCTCTTACACGGGTTCCGGTATCTAGGGGAGGAGAAGGGATAAGGCGGTCAAGGTGTGGACACAGGGCCAGGCACACGTGAATTGTGAGAGCCTGGAGGGGAAGAGCCAGGTCCTTGGAGACCCAGCTCAGCACACTCCAGCCCATTGCTGTAAGCAAATGGCCTCACCTCTCCGAGCCTTCACTTTTCTCATCTGGAAAATGGGGATAGTAGTGTTCACTCTGATGGGTGGTCCTCAACAGGAATCTGGAACCCAGATACAGAGCAGGCATTTGGCGATGTTAGTTACTATCTTTGCTCTTAATAATTATAAGTTGTTGTTATTTATTTATTTTTAAAGAGCAAATGCACTCTTGCCCCGTTGTTGATCCGGTCTCTGGTGCTGGCCCCCTTGCTCCTGGCAACAAAGATCCCTGTTCAGAGTTACAGCCCTTTGTGGCTTTCCCCAACTCTGCCAGTCCCAGGTAGGGAAGAGATGGGACTTACCAGGTGGTCGCTATCGCCCTCGTGTGGTTGAGAATAGAAATGCAGAGGCACCGTCCAATGTCAGAAGCAGCAGCAGCTCAGGTGGCCAGGCTGTCCTCCATCGCGAGGCCTTTTATTTATTGGGCCATTTCCCATGCGCACTGCATTTTACAGCTTTTGAGAATTCGGTCCTATTTATCCCCTCCCACGCAGCCAAAATGGACAAGCACCCCATTTTACAGATGGGGAAAGAGGGGCCCAGGGAGTCATCCAAAGAGGCAGCCCCAGAGCAGGCGTTAGGCCTCCAGATAGCCACAGGTCCGCTGCTGCAGGGTCAGGCAGGGCGACGCCTCCTGTGTCCTGGATGCCTATCTGGGGTGGAGTCACGGGGGAGGCGTAGTCAGCGCTGAGACAGGCACCCCCAGGCATCTCTGTGAAGGGGCACTGCTAATTCTTGGGGACTCTGCACATTCCAGTCTGGGTGGTTGGGAACCCAGAGCCCTTCAGAAAAGTGCACTGACAACCCCCCACCCCGCGAAAAGCCAATAGTAAGGTATTGACTCGTTCAAAGTCCGTCTGCCCAGGGGTGAGTTCAGGGACGGGCCAAATGGAGGAATTAACTAAATTTATCCACTGACCAGCAGCTTGAACAGAAGAATTCATCTGGCACATATTCGAGAAATGAATAGAATCTTTTTAGGACCCGACCTGCCCTGTAGCATTGCATATGGCAAAGTTTCCATGGAAACAGCTTCTCTCTACTCTTTTATTTATTTATTTTTGGGGTACTGGGGATTGAACTCAGGGGCACTTGACCACTGAGCCACCTCCCCAGCACTATTTTGCACTTTATTTAGAGACAGGGTCTCACTGAGTTGCTTAGTGCCTCACTGTTGCTGAGGCTGGCTTTGAACTCAAGATCCTCCTGCCTCAGCCTCCTGAGCCCGTGGGATTATGGGCGGGCACCACCGCACCTGGCTCTACTCTTAAAAAGTAGCTTCGTGGGTTTGCACACTTAACTGTGCCCAGTTAATATATTTAAGAAGAGTGGCCTTAAAATTATGATTATTTTTTGTGAACAAGTTACTTAGTGAATATGATAAACAGGTCACTTGGTGAATTGTCCCTTTGGTAAATTAGCTTTGGGGGACTGACTCTGTGGTCAGTAGGCCCAGGTCTGTCCCACTGTGAGACCCAGGGAATCCAGGTTGGGGCGCCTGTGCCTTGCTCTGGGACTTCGCAGGACACCCCGGGGGGATGGCCTGTCATTCCCGGAGGGGTGGTGGACACCCGGGCTCTGAGTTGCACAGCCTGGGGCGGGGTCACCTCCCTCGCTGGCCTTGGACCGGCCTGACATGTCCCTTTAAATCTGTGGCCTGGAGATGAGACCCTGCAGGACGGTGATGACTGAATGAAATGGAGACGGTCACTCGGCCCCGCCCAGCGCCCCAAGGAGGCCCCCTCTGCTCAGTGCCGGGTGGTTTTGAGCAGTCCCTGTGTCTGGGATTGTCACCTTCATTCCCACGGTGGCCCAGGGAGAGGTGGAGAGGGGAGCCCCCGCCCTGACCCCACAGCGGCCCTTGGCTTTGCCTGTGGTCCCTAGGGCCCGAAGGTGCGGGTTAGAAAGGCGCTGGCAGCCCCCTCCCCACGCCCCACCCCACCCCGGGGCGCCCCAGGCCCAGGGCCCCGCCCACCGGCCGGCCCCGCCCACAGGTGTTCCAGCAGTACCCCGAGTCCCGGCCGCTCACCATCAGGATCCAGGTGCCCAACCCTCCCACGGTGACGCTGCAGAAGGACAAGGCGCTGGTGCAGGTGTTCGCCACCTCTGAGGTCGTGGTGTCCCAGCCCAATGACGTAGAGACCACCATCTGCCTCATCGACGTGGTGAGTGCCTGGGCTGCAGCGGCCCCGGCTGGGCCTCAAGCCAGAGCCACCGGGCCCCCCGGAGCTCCCGGGCCCTACCACTCCCCACAGGCCCTGCCACAGGACCCTGCCCACCCGCTGCCTTCCCGTCCCCGCCCCCAGGGCTTGAGATCAAGTGAGCTGCATCTGGTCTGGGAAGTGGGTTTCCTGCTGGAGCATGACAGGCCAGCTGTGTGGGGTCCTTTTGGACATCATCAGATGGCAGATTAGAAGAGCCAATTCTCACCCAATCTGAACCCCGCTGTGTGACATTCCCATCAACAGCACAAATGTCTGAGCCAGCTCAACCCTGACACCAGACTCCATTGCCCCAGAGATGCAGCCCTGACTTCCTGGCCCACAGCCTGGTCTGGCTGCATTCTGCCCCAGCCTCACAGAGTCCTCTCACCAGCTCCATCTCCAACCTTCTTTCTTTCCTTTTAATGCCAACCTCCTTCCTGCCTCAGGGCCTTTGCACATGCCCTCCCCACTGCCTGGATGGCTCTGCCTCCCTCTTCTTCATCTAGTCAAAGCTTGCACATCCTTCAGTCCTCAGTTCAAACAGGATGACTTCTTGTGATGGATTAGGTCCCTGTCACAGGCAACCAGCGCCCCTAGCTCTTCATCATGCAATCCCTAGTATTGTTGCTGATTCCAGTGCATGAATTTATTGGGGTTTATTTTTATTTTCAAAAATGTAACTTTATGATCTCATTTATTAGAAGGAGGGTCAGGGGAGCAAAGAGGGATTTTCCTCCAGCAAAGTTTCTGCTTGAAAAGGGAGATGAGTCTGGTCCTTTTATGCCCTGTTCTGGGGGACGGGGCAGTAATGCTTGGCAGCAATGGTGCCCAATCCCATCTGCATGGCTTTCCTAAAGCAAGTTTCCTGGGCTTCAAGCCTCTCCCTTGGAGGCATCTCAGAGAGACTTGGTAAGCGTCCCCAGTGCCAGTCATGGGGATTCTGTGTCATTTGTCTTTGTGGGAAGTATTCACTCAGCTAACTCGCAAACACGCGTTAATGCTGGTCCTTTATCATTCCTGACTCCTGCTTCCTCTGGGGAGGTGAACCTACTGTGTGGGAGCCTTGTGCTTAAAGGGAGCCTGGCCCGGGCCTCAGGAGCAAGCCTTGGTGACGCTCAGGGTCAGTGGGCTCCTATCCAGCGGCCGCACAATAGCCTGACAAGCTGGCAGTGACGGTCACCTCTTCCTCCTCCCTCCAGGACACCGACCTCTTGGCCTCATTTTCTGTGGAAGGGGATAAGCTCATGATCGATGCCAAGCTGGACAAGTAAGGGGTTTGCTTCCCTGGTTCCCCCTCAGGAAGCCATCTTGGGGCTGTTGTAGCTGGTGCTGGCCTAGACGGCCACCAAGGGCACCAGGGCACCAGAGGTCTCCTAGTGTCAGGAGTGACCTTCAGAGTGGGTCAATGCAAGAGGCTGCAGAGGCAAAAATGGCCCATGTCTGCCGAGAGCTCCATCAGGGGCCAGCCAGGTAGGGTGACTCAAACAGGAAGAACCAGCTTGATGCTGACGAACCAGGCTCTGCCACGGGCTCCCAGTGCACCTGGGAAGTCAGGGCTAGGATGCTCCTTTTTAAAGATGAGAAAACTAGGGCTCAGAGAGGTAGATTTACCTACTTAGGGCCACACAGCAAGTACAGAGAGGGGCTGGGAGCCAACCCAAGTGAATGTGACCTGCTGCATTGAATGGTTAAAAGTGCTGGCTTTGGACTCCAGAATATGGGTCCAAATCCTGATGTGACCACTGTCTGGCCGCATGACATTGGCCAAGTGACTTCCCCTCTGAGGCTCTGTCTTCTCATGGGAAAATGGAGACCACAGTCCCTGCTTAATAAGATTCCTAAAGATAATAGCTATTATTTATTGGGTACCTTCCACGTGCCGGGCATTGAGCCAAGTCCTAGGAGTGTCTTTGGTTAGTTGTTGACGTCAGCCTACGGAAATAAGTACTAGGTGCTCATTTTGAGGTTTAATGAGATCATGGGTCAAATTTTCAGCTTGCGTTAGGTCATCGCAAGTTTTTCCTTTGACAAAAGCTCATGGAGTCCAACCAGGGGGACTGCGAGACGGTATCAGTCAGCCATCTGAGTTCCAAGGTGGCCACATGCAGCCAGGGGCCCAGCCGTGGGAAGGCCGGGGTTCCAGCAGGCAGAGAGGAAAAGCACTCAGGCGTTGTGGCAGGAGGGGCTGAGGAGGGCGGGCGTCGGCGTCCGAAGGAAGAAAACTCGCTCAAAGCACCGAGTCCTCTTCTTGTTACCCATGACTCTGTCATTTAGTCCGAGCAGTCTTGCGCTCTGCAGAGAGGCACAGAGAGGCGAAGGGCCTTGGCTAAGGTCACACAGCCGATAGGTGGCAAAGCCACAACAGGCACCTTGCCCACCCTGAGCATAGCGTCTGGCCCATGGTTACTGCTCCGTCCACGGGACCCACGTGATTCCCATCAACTCCCCCAGGACCAGGGGCTCCCAGAGGTCGTGGGTGGAGGGCTTCAGACAGTTTTGGAAACCCAGCACCTCGGGCTCCCAATAATGGCTGCTTCTAACGGGCTGACATTATCACCCGCAGGACCAACCTCAACCTCCGGACCTCGAATGTGGGCAACTTTGACGTAAGTGCCACATCGGGGCCCAGGGGAGCATCCCGGGCTTGGGGAAAGCTCCTCTGGGGACGGCCTCTCCCCAGGGCCAGAGAGGCTGGGACTCCAGCAGGTGGCCGGCCTCCTCGTGGACGCAGAGATGGGGAAACGGGGACACAGGGGGAGGGCAGGGGTCGGCTGCGGCTCCTGCTCGGGCCCCTGCTGCTCTGTTTTAATGGGGGACCTTAGTGCACATCGGTGGGGACAGCCATGTCCTAGGGGAGTCAGGAGGCCGCTGACCCCTGGGTGACTTGAGCATTACCGGCCACTCTGAGCCTCAGTCTCCTCCTCTTAGATCAACAGGGCTGGGTTTGTGTTCATCCTCATTCTTACTCTTTCCAAGGGCCCGAGACTCTGAGACATTCAGGGCCGGGTCCTGTTTCATCTCTGTTCTTGGGTCCCTGCACCTCACCAAGGCCTCGGAGTCAATGTCTCTCTCTCTCTCTCTCTCTCTCTCTCTCTCTCTCTCTCTCTCTCAAGAAAAGCTGACAGCTGAGCCCTTGCTTGCTTCCTGGGGTGAGCCGGGCAGATTCATCTCTTGTTCCTTGTTTTTGAGTTTCTTGAACATCCGCAGCCCGTGAAATTCGTGTCCCCAGCTCATTTTTAGATGGAGAACTGTCCCGGCTCACAGCTGGCTGGGCAGTTTCTCTTTGGGTCCTCACAGTGTTCTTAGGATCTGGGCAACTTTCCCATAAGGAAGCTGACGTCAGGGAGGTTCAGTGACTGGCCGGAGGGGACAGTGGGTCGGAAGTCGAGGTGGGACTGAGTGGCGGGCGCTGAGCACTCTGCAGATCTCTGACGGGAAGGACTTTCACAACCAGCGTAAGGGAGGGTCAGTCCCTCTTGTCTTCAGACGTGGAAGCCAAGGTTTAGAGACGTTAAGGGAGGTGACACAGCTGTCCTTTGCCATCCATAGGGGCATCGGCCCAGGGTCCCCCGGGACACCAAGGTCCCCAAGTGGACAAGGGCGTGGCATCTGCCTGGGGCCTGCTCCACCTTCAGCATTTCCATCCTCTTAGGATGGCTGTGCGGCGCCCAGGATGTCGGTGCCACATAAATGCATTCACGGGCCACGTGGGACATTCCCCTCAACGACGGACCAGAGACTGTTCTAGTCTCATAGGGCAAAACGGCCTAGTGACATTAAAGCCATCTTGGTTTATGAAACACACTGTGACGCTCACATGGGGACCACATTCCCAGGAGCTTCCCGTTGTTAAGTGACAGGTGACAGTTGTTAGACTGTACTGTGGGAGTGATGGCAAGAGAGCCTGTGCCCATCCAAGACGGAGGGAATTTGCTTTCAAATATTTGGGATCCGAGGTTGGTGGCACCCACAGGTGCAGAACGCGTGGGTGACAGGATGGCTCAGAGGGCGCAGGAGGCCGGCCCTCTGGGCGCCTCCCCTGACCCTGGCTGTGTCCTTTCGGGCTGACCTCGGGAGCTGAGGGTCAGAGGTGAAGGAGGCTGAGCTGGGATGGAGCCGGGGGCGCTGGCCGCAGGGTGCAGGGCCTTGGAAGGGTGCTTCAGGGCCAGCCTCCCTCCCCCCCAGGCTCCACCCTCCAGGGGAGCCTCCCTGGGCCCTGCCTGTGGCTCAGGGACCGCCAGCCTCACCTCCCACCAGCACAGGGAGCAGTGACCCAGGTGGCCCTGGGGCCATCTGCTGAGCCGTTCCAGGTCCTGGGGCTCTGTGGACAGGACTCCCAGAGTCTCCTGAGCAGCTCTGGGTCTCATCTTGGACCCTACTCCAGGCCCCCAGGGGCCTTCAGAGCCGGGAAGCCCCTGCCCAGGCTCAGTCCTCTGTCCCCGCAGGTGGGCCTCATGGAAGTGCTGGTTGGGAAGATCTTCGACCTGGCCTTCATGCCCGCAATGAACGGTGAGCGCGGGCTGGGGGCCCGGGGACCTGGGGACCTGGGGACAGCTGGTGTGCAGGACACGTGGGACTCACAGGCATTCCACCTCAGAGGCAGTTCTGAGGCTGCACTTGAAACGTTGATTTAAGCTTCCAAATGCAAGTATTTTTCAGGTTTCAAAAATTGATTTTAAAAATGTATTTTAATTAACAAATAATAGTTGTGTGTACTTACGGGGCATCGTGTGGTGTGGCCTCCAAATCCATCCCGCCGCTTTCTTGTTTGGCTGAGCGTCTTGTTTTTCTGATCACCTTGAAAACTGAATGTGTGCAAACTTGAGAAATCCTGGAACAATGTATTTTGAAAGTCTCACCTCCCAGAGGCGATTACCTGAACCCGGGTATATTTCCCTCTAAACTCTTTTCCTCCATTTCTCTAGGGTTAATTTATCGCCTGGCTCCTTTTTAAACACAGATTTCTTCTGAATTATGCAGGGACTGCACGGATAATACATTCTGATTCGAAAAATTTCAGTCTGTGCAGATAGAGCTGAGGTTGTCCCCACCAGTGTCCCCAACCTCCTAACTCAGAATCTGTCCCCTGGGAAGCCACATTATCACTGAGAAGATTCCCTCCCCGTCTTGAAGAGTAGGACAGACCAAGTGTCTCAAGAATGGGATTGGGAGGCTACTCGAGGAACCTCGAGGTCACCAGGAGGCTGGGATAGCTGGGTGACCCCATGATGATCGGGGACCTCAGCCCCAACCTGCTTCATCCAGCGCTGGGGGCAAAGTGGGCTGGCACATCCCAGTTGATGTCACCTCCCATACCAGCCGGGGCTCATTTAGAGAGACACTGATGTCTAATGGAGCCTTATTCTGTGACCCAGCCCCAGAGAAGGCTGAGTCCCCGTGACAGAGAAAGAGCAGTCACAAAGCCCATGCACGACAGCAGGGTGTCAGGGGCCGGGTGAGGTGACAGGGGACAGGAGACAGAGGCTCTAGGCCTGCTTGGTCCCTGAGGGCGGTGCACTGGGGCACGTCCTTTCATCTCCCTGAAATGCCATCTGTCACTTTTCTTAGGTTCTTGGAGTGGGTCCAGAAGACACCAGCCCCACCCAATACCCAGGAAAGGGCGGGACCGGGAGAGCCCGAGAGCCCCCGAAAAGTCCAGCGGGGTCCAGGCGCCTTGTCCCCTGCCCACCCCCTCCCTGCTTCCCTCCTTTCCCGTCCTTCCTTCTAGAACAAGGGTCACAGGTCCACTTGGTCCTGACAACTTGAGACCCGGGACCAAACCCCGTCCCCGTCATTTGCTGGTCCCCACGGGCAGCCCCTTCCTTGACTTAGCAATCGTGTCCCCTCCTCTGTGCTGTGTCCAGGGCTCTGTGGTGCTGGGGACACCGTCCTGCCTGCAGGGATCCCACGGCGTAGCAGGGTGACAGTGACAGTTTGCCGTCTCTCTGCTGGAGGCACTTGGTCCCGCGGTGGCCCAGTCACCTGGGTCAGGGAACCTTTCGAGGATGGGCCAGCAGGACAGCCTTGGGGACGGCCCTCCACCCACAGGGAGGCCAGGGCGACCGTGTGCTGTGGCCGGGAGGGTCGGCAGGCGCGAGGAGATGGCCAGGCCTCCTGGCCGCGCTGACCTCGCCTGACCTCGAGCCGCTGTGGTTGTTTTTCAGCCGTGCTGGGTTCCGGGGTCCCTCTCCCCAAAATCCTCAACATCGACTTCAGCAACGCAGACATCGACGTCTTGGAGGTAAGGGGAACAGCACTGTGTCCCCGCTGCCCTCTGTCCTCACCTCTGGCCACAGATAAAGGTCCGTAATTGGAAAAAGGGAGAGAAGGGGGGCCCTGAGGCCTCTCCCTCCAACATACGAGACGGAGGAACAAAGAAAAGGGCCACTGAGAGTCCTTCAAGGCAAGTCCTCAATCCCACTCAGAGCTGCCCCATCCTCCAGGTGGAAAGCTGAGGCTCCCCAGCCTCGGGCTTCCCCAAAGGTGAAGGTGGTGTTGCTCACTGGGAAAACCTTTATTGAGCACCTACTATGTTCAGACACTTTGCAAGGCCCTGGGATACGGGGCCTTCCAAACCCAGCAGGGACACAGGACTTTGGGCAAACGTCCCTGAAGACATTGGCTAATTATAGACGGCAGGTGTCTTGAAGTTCAGAAGAAGGGGCTCTTGCAACCACTATAAGGACCACATGTGCTCAGCGTCTGAAATTTGGAAAATACAGGGACATTAAGCGAACACAGGCGTATCCTCAGTATATGCGCAGCCGACAAGTCATCCCTTAGAACATGTTTTTTTGTTGTTGTTGTTTTTCATTCCAATCTTTCTGAAGTTTTATTTATTTATTTTTCTTTCTGGAGTTTTATTTTCAAAGAAGGCTTTGACCAGGGCATCAGCAGAGCCCTGAGGCTAAAGAATAGGGCTTGGAATTCAGCAGTCTGGGTTCAAATCCCGACTCTGCCAGTTGACAGCTGGGTGACTCTGGGTGAGCTACTTAACTTCTCTGGGCCTCAGTTTTCTCCTTTATTAAAAAAAAAAAAAAAAAAAAAAAAAGCTGGTCCCAGTGCCGACCCACGGGGCTGCGTTTAGGATGACATGAGCCTCTCCTGTAGTGCCCTTGAGCCCTGACACTCTAAGCGTTCTGGAATGGTCTGTCATGTCAGTGTGAGCATATGATAAGGATGGATGCAGGGGGGCTGCCTCTGGGTTCAGGATTCGTCCTTAGGACTCCCAGAGATGGAACCAAGGGGCCTTTGTCCCAGGTTGACAATTCCTTTTGCAAAAGTCACACTGCTGACTCTTCCTCGTCCTGTGACCTTGACATTTCTGGTAGCTCTGGCCTGTGGGTGGGATGGGCTTCCACTTGGACTGAGTGCCATCCTCTCGTGGCTGGACTGAGGCCATGTGTTTTTGGCAAGGACATCCCAGGAGTGGAACTTGGAGCTGTCACTAGGCCCCTGTCAGGGACACCGTGTGGGACACATTTGTTTCCATCACTCGCTTGAGGTGGCTCCTGCCAAGTCCCTCCAACTGAAAAGCTATTATTTTCCACTTTGTCACTGATCAGTAGCTGGTTCTCCCCCACCTTCTTTTTAAAATTTTTATTATTTCAAAAAAAGTTTGTAGTTATAGTTGGACACAGCACCTTTGTTTTACCTATTTATTTTTATGTGGTGCTGACAGGCTGCGCCACTGAGCCACAACCTTTCTTTTTCTTTTTTTTTTAGTTCTAGTTCAAAAAGTGTTTTGTCCACGGTGCACCGTGATCATCTGACACAGCGGGTTCATCATGTCCCGCTCGCACCCGCACACGACCTCCCCTCCCTCGCCACCCATTTGGGCCCTGGCTGTGGCTCTTGTCTGCCATTCGTCACTGTCCTGTTGGCCTAACTGTGATTTTTGGAGTTCTTCCTTAAGGAAGGGCTGAACTTCCTCCCCCGTGTATTCATTTACTTTGTCAGTTATTTACTTAGTCAATATGAACTCTTGGATACTTATTTTTCTTCTTTGAGGTTTGATTTCTACTTTCATCACTTATTTTGTTGCAGAACTTTTGTGTAGTCCCGTGGACTAGGCCTTGGAGGACTGCAGAGGGCTCAGGCCTGCGGGGCTTATTTAGGGGAGGGGGATGGGGGCCAAGGAGGGCTGTGTCTTGCCCAAGGTCCTCTGAACAGGAGGCCCCAGGCCCACGTGACCCCCTCACAGAGTCCATTTGGAGTCACCGCTCCCCTGAGTCACACTCGCCCCGTCCACGGCAGCTGAGGCCAGAGCCCAGGCCCCACCTGCTCACCTGGTTCTCTCTTCTGCCCTCCAAGGACCTTCTGGTGCTCAGCGCTTGAGTGACAGAGGCAGAGACGTTGTTGGAAGAAGCCAGAACCAGCCCTGGAGAGGACTGGCCTGGACACGGTCCCTGGCCCTGAAGCCCTGAGGCCTCCACAGCAGGCCCCTCCCAGCCTCCAATCCTCTTCTCCACCTGCCTCCACCTGACAGAAAGGATCCAGCCACTGTCCCGTTAGTAAACTGTACCATGCAGTCCCCGGGCTCTGCAGGGGAGGAGGTGGCCCTGAGGACTGGGCCTCAGGCCGGATCTGACTCCAGGAGTTATCTTGGCTTTCAATAAAACATTCCCTTTCCTGCACCGGGCCAGCCCCCACTGCTGCCTACAGGTCTGACTCCTTCCCTCCTTGCTGCGCCCCCGGGGCCTGGCAGCCGGAGCTGCATGGGGCTGGAGGATTGCTCAGGCACATCCAGGGCCGGGGCTGAGCAGCAGGGCTTTACTCCAGCTCTCCACACCTTTGTTCTGCAATCCCCTGGGCGGGTCCTTCCTGCCTCAGTTTCCCTTCCCGCGCCTCAGCCCACGGGGAGGGCCAGGACGCAGAAACCACAAGTTCAAGGTCACCAGACATCTCACAGCCATGATGACCAGGGTCCCCTCCCCTCCTGATTCCCAGCCGCGACTTCCCCGGGGCCAGAGGAGGGTGGAAGGGGAAGGATAGCACGGCTCCCCGCCCAAGCCTCCCGGGGGCGCTCGTCTGCTGGGCACCAAGTGCCTGGCGAGCCCTGAACTGAGACTCCGCCGCCTGATCTCACTGACCCTCACGAGAGCACCACAGGGTTCACACAAGGCTGGCCCTGGTTTCAAAAGTGGGGAAACTGAGGCACAGAGAAAGGCGGTGGTGACTGGTCCAAGGTCACCCAGCTGAGGTGTGGACCTGATAACTCCAGGCCCATGTCCTAATGGCTCCCTGTGGCCTTGGGTCACAAGTTCCAGGGGCCCCCAAAGATGTCATACAGTTCCCAGAGGAGAGGGCGGGGCCTGGAGAATCCCAGTAACACCACGTGACGGGTCAGCTCTCTCACGGTTCATTGGCCAAGGTCAGTCAGGAGACCCTGCCTGACCTGCCCAGGCAGAGAGAGGGACTGGACACCCGGGTGGCCACAGTGACGTCTCCCGCACTCCCCCATGTTTCCTGGTAGGAGGGGGCTGGGGCAGTGGCTGAGGGGGCCTGGCTCCTGTTGCCATACAGGTTTTGCAAAGATACAAGGTACCTCCTGCTTCCACCCAAGCCAGTGAAACCACAGTCACAGCCAGAGAATGATCCCGGAGGCTCCCACGTCGTCCTCTCAGAGCACGTCCTTGGCTTCTAGACATTAGGCCCACGGCCGGACATTCAAGGGAAACTAGATCCTGCCACATCATTGTCCCCTCACAGCAACACCCCCCAAGGCTCCTGAAACCCCATCTGCCAGTCGGGAGGGAAGAGGCCGTCTATTAAAAACAGCCTGGGCCGGGTGTGGTGACACAGGCCTGTAGTCTCAGCGACTCTGGAAGCTGAGGCAGGAGGATCACAGGTTCGAGGCCAGCCTCAGCAACTTAGTGAGGCCCTAACTCCTACTCAATTTATCAAAACCCTGCCTCAAAATAGAAAATAAGGGGGGGGGGGCGCCTGGGGATGTGGCTCAGTGGTTGAGCATCCCTGGGTTCAATCCTTGACACCAAAGCTGTGGAGAGCGGTGACAGAGAATGGCAGAGCACTGTCCAGGTCTGGGAATGTTCCAGTGCGAGGGCTCAGGAGGCCTAGCTGCTGTGGGGTTCCCTGCATGAGGAGCCTCTGAGAAAGAGTCTTACCACCTGGACCTTAATCTCAGGCACCCAGCTCCTGGGGATAGAGGAACTGTCCCGCTAGACGACCACAGTGTCTCACAGCCTGTTCTTCAGTGCTGCCCACGAACAGGTACTTTACACCATGCGCTTTCTTGAGAGCTACACAGGCTCCTAAAATCTGCACATTGCAACTGTGGAAGAGCCGAATAGATGTAACCGTCGGAGTACAAAGAGCAAAGCTTGCCGAGTCTTCAAGCCAACCATGAGACGTACATAAACAAAGATCGCTGCCATAACTCTTCAGACCTGCTTCTCCTTCAGGGAGGAGCTTTGTCTTCAAGTCACCTGCATGTGTGAGACTTTATGTTCCTTATTCACCTCCACCCCTGGCCAGGAGGGTCCCCTGCTGACAGGACGGCGTTGCATTCACAGGTGTCAGTTGGTGGCCTCATGAGGTCATTCAGGAGCAAGATCTGGGAGTCAAGAGGAGGGGTTCCAAATCCTATCTCTGTCACTTGGTTATGTCCCTTGTGCGGCCTCTAGTGTTTCTTTTCTTTCTTTTTCTTTTTCTTTTTTTTGTTAACTATCAGCTTTATTTAAAAATGTACAAAATACTCTTGACATGTAGAATGTAAGCTTTTTGGATTTTTGAAACTCCACACAAAACTGACACTCCCAAGAAACCCATACCAAATTAATCACTCACAGACTGCCAATTTCATCCACTGATTTAACACTACAATATTCAGGATAAATTAAAGGATTTAATATCATCAACACTTGAAAAAACAGTCATTTGTAACATGCTATTATAATTAGAACAACCAGTTTTGGGGTTACTGATACAAGGAATTTCAACACCAAGCTTAAAGCTTCCTTAAAACATGAAAATTGAGACAGTGAATTAATGCAAACATGACTACATCTGAGAAAAAATACTCTTCTTGTGAATGTTAATACTCAGCTAAATATAATCACTGGCACTGTGACTTGAGCCAGACTTTTAAATCTGGATTAAGCCAACCAGAAGGAAGGCTTCCAATGGAGGAAGAAATGGGACTCAAAATTGGGATAACTTGAAATTCCAGGGACAATGAAGAGACCTGTTTGGGGGAGCAGAGTTACATATTAGAACAACAGAAAAATATTTTAAAAATTAAAAATATATGTTTCAAAGCATATGCATCAGCACCTCATGGTGAGTTGAAACTTCTTTAACAAGGCCCAGTCTGAAAAAATGCATATAAATAAGAATTGAGAGCCAAGACACGCCTTAGTCTTGCTGGAGTGCAAGGGTATGGCTTTGCATATTGTTCAGGGTCTCTACTAAATTGTAGGGACTTCAGAAATAATAGTCTCTTTTTAAAAAGATATTGCTTATTTCTATTAATGATTTCAGTTAAAAGATTTGACCAGGTAAAAGCTCACGAGCAGTACACTGGCTTGTAGGTATCACCTCTCAAATATTCCTGAGAAAACGGTAAGAAAAAAGCGGCTTTCCTCACTTTCTAAAAACTCTTTTTCAGAGGTTTTTCAGACTTTTCTCGATGAAATACATAGTCAATATTGTAGCTAACGGACAAACTGAGGGACTGCTTCCCACTTAAACCAAACGGGGAGAAAACTTAGAACTATTGGCTATAAACCGCAAGGCAAAACGCAGCTCAAAACTGAATGGAGCAGGGGCCCTTTGCTAAGTGGAGGGTGAAGGGTATGACCCACTTGAAGTTCCTGTTACATCACGAGTGCAGTTCAGTTTGGGGAAAATAGTTTTATGTATCTCTCAGAAAAAAAAAAAAAGGTTTCTACTTTGCATCACAAACAAAACAGTGGTTATGATGTCCAGCGCCAACAAGCAACTTTCATTCTGTCCCACACTGCTGAAAGCGAATCCCAGGCAGGGCCGACGTCCAGGATGGTGAACTGCTAGTCCTGGTTGACTTCGCCGCCATCGTGATGATCTGTCACATATCCAACTTCCGTGCCACAGCGACTGATGGTCCCACCGTGCCCATCGAAAGGCAGCTCATACCCCATCCAGGAACCAATTCTTGCTCTCGGTGAATACTGTTTTGCTTTCCCTCCGAATCGGATCAAGGATGGACCACAAGGGCACTCCGCAGCATGAAGAGCTTCCCACTTCAAGATCTCCTTCCAGGCCTGTTCATTGTTCTGATTGCGAATTTTAATGATATCTTTCTGACTAATATCCTCATCCTTCCACTTCCACCCTTTCCTTAACATTGCATTCCAGAACATCTGTTCAGAAGGATAAACCCACTTTTTTCTCCTCTCTTCCGGCAGACAATGCAAAGCGCTGATCTGGAGCTGGTGTTTGATGAGGTGGTGGCATCAGATTTGGAGGATCCAGGTTCTCCTTATTCTCAGCAGCAGCGCCTGGAACAGGACACTCCACACAGTCATAGGCACGATCTTGGTGGGCAGGCACAGGTTGGACCAGAGGGTTCTGCATTCACTGGACAGCCTTTCATTTTCCCTTCAGGCATTGGGCATCCTGAAGGCGGTGATGCTGTCTCATCTGAAGCATTTGAGCGCTGAACTGGAACGGTAGGGGTAGAGGCTGACAAACCCATGGTTGGAATCAGTGTTGACTCCAAACAACTTTAAATTTCCAGCTGCTCCAGGGCATGGTCCCCAGGCCCCACTGGCTGTGGCCAGCATGACCTTCCGCACCTGATTTCTCCCCCAGCTGCTGGCCCTGCCTCTAACCTCCAACCCAAACCCTGAGGACCACGACCTGCCACCGTCCCCACCTTCCCCTCACTGCGCCTCTAGTGTTTCTGAACCTCAGTTTCCCCACCTAAAAAAAGGACAATGATAATAATTCTGCTCTAAGATGGGGTGAGGACATTGACCTTTCCTTCTGGCGCACTTAGCCCTGAGGCTGCACACAGTAAATGCTCAAGAGGTGCTCACTGTGACTGGTAACAGAGTGGACAGCATGAGCTTTTGGAACCCCTGCTTCTGAGCAGGGCTGAACTGAGGACGAGGGATTGAGTGTGTTGGGGGGACACTTGGCATGTCCCTTGGACAAGGTTGTGCCCAGCGGGTCTCTCGCTGAACAGAGGCAGGCTGCTCCCTAGCGGGCTCTGTGCTGCTTCCAGCCTTGGGGGCGTCCAGAAATATGGAAGTTCCTTTTGCACAATCAGGGTGCTTTCAAGTTGGGGTGTGTGTGGCTCAGGGCAGAGGGTCCGCCTGGCCGGCAGAGGCCCAGGTGGAACCCCAGCACTGGGAAGAAACAAACAGGGACGCCTGTCCAGGAGGGGAGGAGGGAGCAAAAGCGGCCGTTGGTGGTCAGGGAAGGCCTCCCTGAGGAGCAGGTGCGTCAGGTCCCCTCTGTGGCCTCGAAGTCCATCCCCCTTCCCGTCCCCAGCACCCAGGGACTTGGCCTCTCCCAGTCTCCAGGGCCCTGCAGGTGGGAGGAGCTAAGCAGAGGGAGGGCGGGACTTCCTGTCTATACTGCCAGGGAGGGGCCAGAGGGAGGAAGCCCCGCCTTAGAGGGAAG